CCCCGCCTGAGGCTTTGAAATCTGTGAAATAAAGGACAGCTGCAAGGCTGGAAAATTGACTCACCGAGAGGGGTGTACGGTAAGAAGGCCCCAGGGCCTGTCCCTTGCTCCTGCCCCAGCACATGGCTCCTTGTGCCATCCTAGCCTTGCCAGTTGCCCCGCTCCTGACACCTCACACCTACAAGCTCTCCTTTCTAGCCTGTCCCTGGTCTTGTAGCACTGGCACTTCAGGTCTTTCCTTGTAAGCCACAGCTCCCAGGTTCGTGCTATAAATGTCAACAAATCTGACTGCACTTAAAAGACAGATAGATAGACAGCTTCCTACCCTAAGATATGTAGAAAAAGGATTGAAAACGTGACCTCATTATCAGAAAAGAAGTCAGGTGTCACTTGTGAGCAGTTTGTGTTTGTTGCTTTAAAAAAAACCAAACAAAACCAAAATGAATCCCCCCAATCAGTTCTGAATCTGATTTTTTGATTGGGAGGGGAGGGGAAAAGCAAATGACTGACTCACAAATCTGGAGTTTGGCAATAGGACTGCTGCCATCTGGCACCTAGCTCAGATACATCTGGAAAGCAACTGAGAAATGGAAAAAAACTTTGGTATCCGAAGGGGCTGAGCCAGAGCTTCTCGCCTGTGAGGTGTGGCACTGAACCTGGCTACTTGAAGAGTCCTCACTCAGCCCGCTAGCCTGGCCGCAGCTCTAGCTCCCTTCCCTGTTAGCATACCCACCTAGATGCACTTGTTTTATATATTCAATCAAAGCAACTTTGTTGTCTCTCCAGAACTTCTCCAGCTGGTCTGCTGGGGGATATTTGCAGCATGACAGCTCCAATGTAATTTCAAAACATTGTCCCCAAACATAGTTGTAATCTTGCATTCCACCTTAAATATGAAATAAAACGAATAGTGTTTAGCTGGACAGAAGCACCAATTTCAAGCTAGAGGAACAGCGGGAGAGTTTAAAACTGGTACTTGCATCACACCTCCAAGAAGGAGCACCATAAAGATACACCAGACAAATCATTCAACAGTGCTGGAGTCACTTATATTTACTGTCAACTGTGGAAAACCAGCTTAATTACTCTACAGATGCAGGCAGAGTAACACTACCTGCATACAACACTACAACACTCTCAGCTAAATGGGGGCAGATAAATTATGGTTTGGCATAGAGTTTGCCACTCTCAGAGCTGCCCTAAGAGCCTTTTAAGGCTTTGAATTTGGACTGTGAAAGCAACATGCACTACCACAGTATACAGGCCAAGATGCTATTTGGCTACACATAAACAGAGATTAAAACACTTCTGTAATCAAAGTTAAAAAAATTTAAAAAATAAGAAAAATACAGGTTTTGACCTCGGTTACAGCAGATGAACTGTTTGCACTGTTAACAGCGGAGTCATCCCTGACTTGCTCCAAGAGAAGATTTTGGACTCCAGACTCAGTGTAGTAATGCAAACATATCAATATAGTATTAACAAACGGCCTGTGGTGCCAGGGCTGCATGTGTGTGTGGTCTATATAGTTATGAAAGAACTGCTCAGCACTGGCCTTGAGAAAGGGCAGACTGGAAGCCTGACAGCAGAAGCTGCCTCATTTGCTTGTGTATCTGCTGATCAGGAGAGTCTACAAACGCTTGTGTCCTGCTCAGAGACTCTACAAGAATATGGCGGCTTCATCAGCTCACTAGCTACTTGAACCAACCCGCTACTGTGGGCAAAACCACAGCAGTTTCAGCATCAGGATGACAAAAAACAAGCGAGAACGTTATGTCTGAAGCACCTGAAAGACACCACTGACATTCTTACCTTCCAGCTGGTACCACGAATACCCATTGGTAATGCCTTCTGGAAAGCTTTGTCTGTTGTCACACCCAGTCCCTTTGTACATGCTGGCATGGTTGAAAGAATAGGTTTTTGCCAGGTGAATAAAGACATCGTCATCTGGAGATCTGCTATAGCCTTTTAAAGAGCCAGTAACTGCAGAATAAAGATAGCCATCATATAACTCCCACCGCTGGTAAAACATACAGTGCTGTCTTACATACAGGATGAGAATGTCTCAAATAGCCACATCAGGTTTTTTCATGGGGTTTATCAAAGTCTGCCCATCCCAGCTCAAAGGCTGGAATAACCTTGCAGGAAGCTTGTCAGTTTTGCTTTGATACAGCTAAAGCCCTTACAGCAAATCACATCTGGAGAAAAGGGTTTGGTACTAGCTTACCTGAGTTACCATTATCAAAGGTGTAACTGGCAACCAGGGCACCCCCATGCAAGTTTGCTGAAAGGACAAATGTTTCATTTTTTATCCAGTTCATCACTGCCTGAGTCTCTGGCTGAATGGTGACGTTGTTATTTTCAAAGGCATCAGGAAAATTCCTGTTCAGATCTTCTCCATTCTTATTGTACCTTGGAGAGAGGAAAGACATTCCCGTAACAGTTCTGCCTGTAGACACTTCCACATTGTCAACCTCCTGTAAGCTCTTATGAACTGTGGCATGCCAGTGTCTTTAGGGAACAGGCATGAAGACCATCACAAATTTAGCTTTGCAAGCCTTAAGAAAATTGACTTTATTTTGTTTTCCAGCAGCACTGGAATTTTCAGAGGATACAATGAGACAATTATTCTGTTGTATTTCAGGTGGAAACAGTGAATAATATTTAACATGCATATGCACACACACGCAAACCTACACACACATGAATTAGAAAAACCCAAGCCAGGTCAGGAGGATGTTGTCCTTCTGAGCGTGTTTTTCTGCTTGTATAGGAATGTGACTAGTGCATAGTTGTATCCTTTCTTATTGCTGTCACTCTGGGCATAGAGCAAAAAATTTTACTTAAACGCAGGACATATTTCCTTCTACCAATACTTGACAGTACACAAATGCTCTATTCTTTTCTGCCTTTTTCACTCAGAGGTCAGTACAGACAGTACTTAGTTTCACAGAGCAAAAAGAGTGCTTTTAGCTTCAGCTGCGTTAATTTTTAAACTCAGTTAGTTAAATTCAATCTACCTGCCGGTGAGCAGGATTAAAAAAAAATTCACCCTCCATAAAAGCCCTCGCCATTTGCTGAGAAATAAATCTCTTTCTCAGTCAAAAGGAGGGCCTAGAGAAGTGAATACTGTCTGTACCTAACCTACCTTTTCATTTGCTCCTGGAGTTGCCATGGCCAGAGATCCAGGAGAACTTGCAGCTCACGAGTTTAAGGCAGCTTCTGCTTTTCCTGCACATTCCAGCTCTGTCCCTTGGGCATTTCTTCCTATTCTTTCACTCTTTTCTAAGTCTTTTCTCCCCTTTTTGGTCTCTCCAATATTTATGTTCAAGAATGCAAAAGCAGCATTTTCTTCTTGCATCAGTTTTTTTCTAGCGCTGCTATTAGCACAGTACCTATTATAGCTAGCTGTTTCTGTAATTTTTATACATTTTCTTACTAGCTCTTAAATCATTAAATCCTCTTACTAGGTCTGCATACAACATGATGAACTTGGAAACGTTTTTAGAAGTCCATTCAACAAACTTAGACATGCATTTTTCTCATTAAGGGTTACATAGTTCTCCTACTGAAATAGATACCTGTAGCTGGACTTTCTCTTCTTTCTTCCAGCACCCTAAAGGTCTAAACAGGTTGTTGCACTTCTATTCACAGTGTATCTCCTGCCTAAAAGGTTAGGTCACTGTATCATCCTGACCAATTTTCCTCTAGCTCCAGTGCATATAAACACCAGTCTGACTCAAGTCTTCCAAAAACTCCATGCTGTAACAGCACACCTTCAGAGCGGCACAGGACAAAATTAGCCCTAACACATCCTCCAAGCTACTTTCTCCACCAAGTATGACTCAGACGTTTGTCTGTCCCCACTTACTACCCTCCACCCGTTTCCTTTACCCATTCCCAGCCTCCTAAGCCACCCTTACCTTCCGTGTGAGTAATAACAATCAGGCACTTTTGTAGCTTCAAATCCATCAGGATTCATTGTTGGCATGATATGAATCCGGGTATTATTGAGTAACCGGGTAACAACTGGGTCACGTCTATAGTTTGTCAACAGGAAGTCTATCAAATGGAGCAGAATTTCTCTCCCAACAGTCTGTATAAAGAAGGATAGATTTTATTTTAAGTCTGCTATGGAAAAAAAAGGACCCACCACCCTGCACTTAGTTTTGTTGCTGTTGTTGTTGTTTTTGAACTGGATTAAATGAGACATACAAGGCACATGAGCGTTCTAGCCAACACTGTTTTGTTTCATGCCTTCCCTCTAAAAATATTTAACGTAACTTAATAGATGAAAGTCGTCACTGGAGGGTTTTCATGAGAGTTTTAAACCCAGATCAACCTGAGCTTTTTCTGTAATGGGAAACTGTGTCAGCTACACTGCTTAAATACTGTATGGATAAAGACTGAATGCAAGCCTCAGCAGACACTAAAACTGTGTAGGCTGCCATACAAAACGCATGTTAAAGATGGCGGCGGTCTTGGATATGCAACACTGCTTTTAGCTTCATTACCGTCAGCTCTGCTGCTGCCTGAGGGACTCCGGGCCTTAAGCGCCTGCGCTGTGCACCACTGCTTGGCAGTGACGGTTCAGAAGAAAGGAAGACGAGCCCGTCCATGTTTTCTAGGGTGCTATGAAAGCAGGATTTTTTCTTGTTGATTCTCTTTTCTGTGATCTCTCCTTTAACGCAGGGTGAAGAGAGGTTGACTCCCAATATGGGGAGAAGCGCCCTGTAGACACTTCTGTTATATTCTCTCTCACATTGCTTTATTTTAATGCCACGACATGGGCATCGGAGAAATCAAACAGGTATGTACAAATCCTCAGAGAGAGAGAGAGAGAGAGAGAGAGAAGGACCATTTATCTGGATGCAGCCTTTGGATTCAGGAAAAGCAGTGGTGGAGAAAAAAGGTATTCTTTCCACATGTAAGTCTGTTAAGTTGTGAAAGCTGGCAGGTCATTACTAACATCTCCCTTTGTTACTCTATCAAATTTTAGCCAGTTTACTGGCAACTTCCATTTACAGCGAGTAACATTGTGCCCCAGAATCCACCGGACTACCTTTCCAGGAGCGCTTTCCACAGCGCTGTGACCCATTTCTCAAGGGTGCCGTGGGACTCCTATGCCTTGGCTGGGATGGGAACAAATCAAGACTTGCAACTAGATGCGCTCTGCAGATAGTTTATCTCTACTTTTTCCCCAAGAACAAAGCCTGGTAAATCACTGCAGGCTCTAACTCAGAGTTACAGAATCTCAGTATTTTTTAGAATGAGTCTTGCACCACTAAGACAGAAATACCGCAAAGACTTTTTTTCCTCCTTCCTCCCTTCTAAATTGAGGAACACGGAGCAGCTTTACTGGATAAAACTGGTGTTACAAATAAACATCTTTCTGTTTGCAAACTGGTACACACTAGGGTAAAAGGTGAGTGAAAATGGGCAGGGGAAAAGGAACATTTCTTCACAGCTGCTTGCTGCACTAATATCTTTCATTAAATTTTCACATCAGTGCACTGTTAAGTGGCAAATCCTGCTCTGGCTGTTGAGGCAAACAGGGAACCTACACGCACTGTCCAGCAGGAACTCTGCCCGCAGGAGCTGGGTTGGTACAAGACAGGGGCAGGAGGGCTGGGTGCACCCACTGTCCAGGTTGGCAACAATTGCTGTTTATAGCTGAGGGGCAGGAGGAAGCGATGCCAAACATGACTCCGTTGAGTTGCAGATCACGCCATTTGAAGTGGCGGAGCTAAAGAAGGTTCACAGTTTCTGAATTACAACTTGAGCAACTCCGCCACACTGCTTGTGTGGAGGAAAAAGAAGGATGCCTTCCCTCGCTGCCCCCCCAGCACGTTTGCACCCCAGTTCCCTAACCATTACCTGTCAGTTCCTAATGGTCTCCTGCAAGCTACCAGCAAGTAATATCCAATGGGAAGCTGCATTATATAAATGCATTTACTGTCCCGATAACTAAGTGGTTCTTTTTCTAGACTCTACAGCAAAAGGGTTTTGAGAGAGGGCACCTAATTATCTTCCATCGCCAGTAACTTTCAAAATGGCACCTGAGCACGTGCAAGCAGACTGCTCCGCAGTTGGGATAAATTTACTTTGCGAAATTTAAGGAGGAGGGATGAAACAGAACCTGGCTGGTGCCGGCAGCTCAATTCCAGCTCTGGGTGATAGACATCTTGGTAAACACACAGAGCAGATGGGAAGCAAGGAGGGGAGAGAAGTCAGCCAAATCATGGCCCTGGGCATGAGAGAGAACACTAGCAGACTCGGAAGCAACAAGAGCAGCCCTAGCACAGAGACAGCTAACTACAGGCAAGACTGGGCTGCTCTCTGGAGGTGTGGGAAACGGTCTTTGTTCCTACTATACTTCCCTTCAGAGATTCCCGCCCCCAGGAAAAGGAAAAAACAAAAAAGAAAAGTACAGAAGCAGAAACAGGAAAGAAAAATCCAGAAAGAAAAACAGCAAGAAAAGATGGTGGAAGAGGACAATGTCTATAGACAACGAAAGCGGACCAGCGTTCCATAAGTGATATTCTTTGCATTTAACAGTTAACCCAGACCTACTTACATATACAACATATATATAAAAAAATCCTATTTCATAGAATTCCCTGTATAGCTATTGGCTGTTGTACTTTAGTATATTAAACAATTCAGCATACATCTGTCACAGAGGGCTGGTACTCTGATCCAGTCCTAAGCCAGGGGAAAAAAAAAATGTGTTTATTACCAGTCTGTTTTGGTAAGGCTACAGAGGGGCATTGTTTTGGTCCAGACTACCCTGCGTTTCTTGGAAAAGTATAGTTGGAGGCGTTTGAGGAGAGGAAAAGGGAGAGCTTTAGGTCTAGCTACAAGAAAATATAACTCAAGTTTTAATCAAGCCCACAGAAGGCATCTCCTGCCCAGACAAGCTTTACCCTAATACTAAATAGGTCAATTGTGTCTGCAAAGCAAAGTGATCAGCCATTTGTTTTTACTTCGGAGCTTCAGATAAATCCTCTAGATACACCAGAGTCAGGTTGCTGACAGTCTTTACGTCAAGGACAAGGCACTTTGCTTCCAGTCTAATAGCAGGCAGATGCAGAGAGCAGAGGACAGCACTCATGCTCTGGGGCTTTGAGTAGACATGATGAAACACTTAGTTTTAATTGTAGTCTCCCAAGGGTGATGGCCTCATGCCCAGGTGTATTATTTTACAGTAGCACAGATGAGGAATGACACAAAAGCAAAGGAAAACCCTTTCTGCCACCTCTGGGGACACAGTTAAGTTTTCAGCTTCTCTGTGCCCCTTCAGACGTCAAAGTCTCACTGTCTGTCCCAGAAAGGCAGCGTCAGAAGGAAGGGCTTTCAGTGATCCTCAGGCAGTCTTGAATGCAGAACCGTATGTCAGGGCATGGATCTACACTGTAGAAAAGGGTGTGACTGCAGTTTCTGTAGACCTACCCCCTCAGACTTGCTGACTGTATTGCTACTGGTGCAGCTGGGTCAGCGTGCTGCTCAGCTACTGATAGGTTTACTCAGGAAGCCCTAGCTTCAACTAGTTAAAAGATTAAGGCTAGCAGCAATTGCACCTGCACTGTAATACTTCACTGTAGTACCCCCATTTTTAAAACATTTTTATTACCCTGTGATGGGGCCTAGTGGGTGGATAGGCTCTGCCCATTTTTACAATTAAAATTCTTTCCTTAAACATGGCCTGGTTTTCAGTTGAACTATGTTGAAAGAAAGATCAGAACCATCAGGTAGGACCTGTTTCAGAACAGCACGGTCTCGCCAGTCTCCTTTTTCCAGCTCTGGCTGCTCTACAGACACTGCGTGACATATCAAGGCAGTTATAGCAGAGGAGCTTTTATATATATATGAGTTATAGCAGAGGAGAAACTGATAAATCATCCTAGTTTACCATTTAAATGCCACTCTTATGAGACTTTTTAAATACTTGTACAGCACTAATTATTATGCATGGCTGCAATATATTCCATCATGTTTATCCTTCTTTACTAAAATGTACCAGCCTTAAAGCCACTGTTTGTGCAAATACAGCTTGGCACATAGCCATTCCTTTCTATAGCAGCAATCCCTATGGAAACATGGGAACTGCCACCTGCACGACAGGGCTACGCAGTTCCTTGTTTTGTCACCAAAGGAAATGGTGACACAGCCTGCTTTTGAACTAGTAACTGGTATAAGATACCACCACCTGGACCATTTCCATTCCACACAGTCTTCACCTGGCCAAGGGAAAGACTAGATTAGATTTAGACTCAGAAGAGTGGGAGCAAGCGTAAGGAAGGTGAATGGGCCAGGCAGCAGCCCTGTTAATGCCTCTGACCACCTTTACATCACTGATGTTGGAACCAGGTGGAAAACAGTTCACTATACAAGAAACATTTCTTTCTATTCTCTTTTCTAGAGTGCATTTTTGTTTCCCTGCCACACCTCTCCCATGCTCTACTGAATAGTACGGACAAAGGACATCAGAATATCTCCTGAAACACTTTATAATACATTTAATTACTATTTAATTACTATGTGTGTGGAAGCAACTCTGATGGTAAAAAATTCATCCTATGGGCTAGGAATGGTATAAGTGCAACTGCCATTCACCTGTGGAAATACAAGCGAGAAATTTTACACAAGATTCATTAACTTTTTTTTTTTTTTTTTAAAGTCCCAGTTATACTGATGATCAACCTACTCCTATCCTCAGTCACCCAAACTCTAATAAATCACCATATCTCTGGAAACTCTTTTTTAGATATAACTACTTCTATGATGACATGGAAGAGAGAGTCTAGTTACTTTAACTTAAATTGTCAAACAAAGCAGCAAGATAAATATATCCTTTCAGGTAAGGCCAGTGCAGGCCTATCAGTACAGGCTGAATGTAATGAGAGGCGAAAATACTGCTGCACTCAAAGGAAGTGATTGGGAAGGGGATGATTTATAGGCAAAAAAGGATGGTATTACTATCCTGGGAAGGGTTTTTTTCCTGTGATGATCCAGTTATACTACAGCTGCACAAAGTTAAGGAACCCATATATTTAATAAAGGGAGTGAACAAGGGTAGTTTACATGTTATTTAACACATGCTCACCCTTATAGAGTTTTCCTGCTATGATATACATGGGTCAAAAACAGTTTTATAACAAAATCCTCCATGTTAGTTGTGTAGATAGGACTCAAGTCACTGGTACAGCTGGTCAGAAGCTGACAGTTCTGCTCCATTTATGACTTTTGAGCGTTTGGGGATTTGTTTTTGGTCAGTGTGAAATGTAATGAATTTTTCTAAGAACAAATGTGTTGGCATATACATTGGGAAAGAGAAGCTCTTTCAGGGATAACACAAGCCTAGGACATGAGAGAGCTGCTGCCTAATTCAGAATGAACTGAGGCTAGAAAAAAAACTGGGAAACCACATCACTACTCCCCACACCAACCAGCTGACACCTGATTGGCTTTGAGCTGCCCAGATCAAAGCACTGATTCCGTTTCTCAAACATCCCTGGCTACCACTCCCATCAGCAGGCCCCAGCCTCTCCACCGACTTGCTTGGTGCAAACTTTATCAGCGTTTCAAAGGGCCATGCACACTGTGCAGCCTATCAATGCCATTCTGATTGGGGTCCCATGTAGCTGAAAGTGAACTAGCTCTAATCATCAGTTTTAATCTGGCTTGGGTTAAACTAGAAGTACTGCTAAAAATAGTGTCCAACTTCACTCAGGCACAGAAAGAACAGAGGAAGTCTTTTATTGCCTCTCTGGAGACCTGGGGCAAAAGTTTACTCTATTTGGCAATGGCTATCACAAAAATCATTAAACTTTGGCAGGTCATGTCTTTACTAAAATTTTTAACCTACTCTAAAAATAATCTTTCCAGTCCTTAAAACAAATACTCTCCAAATATCCTAGGTTTTCTTCCAGCTGCATGTGTGAACAGCCTGCATACAGCGGCGGGGCCCCCCGCCCCCCCAGCTCATCTCTGGTTTTAGGAGCAGGCTACTGGCTATGTCAAAATAAATAAATAAATAGTTATCTGCATGCCAAGGACGGGTTAGAAGGGCCACGTCACCAAATAGCACTAGAAAACAGAACTTTTCTCACTGTGCTCCATCAGGGAAGTACAGAAGACATAATTATATCAATGAAGCTATAATCCTACAATTTTAAGTTATGAAAGACCGGATCAGCAAGTTGAAGCTTGCCATACATTCAGTGCAACACTTATCTGTTTAATAGATTATAGGGGAAGTTGAATCCTTCCCCAGTGACTAATCCAGCAAAATCTTAAGATTATGGGAATAAACATTAAAGTTCTCCAACATTCACTCTATGAGGAATTAATTTCCTGCCATCTGAAATACACTTATAGTCAGATAGGAAAAAACCAATGCCAACTGTGTGTTACATCCATAAACAAAAAAATAAGGCTAAGGTCATCATGAGGTCCTGAAAAGGAAGAATAGCTCTATTTCCAGGATTTCTTTTAGGTGCATGCTTGGTCTGATGCACAAGCTAGAACGTCATTCGTTAGAGAAACATATTGCAGGGCAATTCACGGTAGCTAGGCAGCTCAAGGATCAACCCCTCAGGCAAACTTGTGACACAGGGCCAAATACTGAAAAATTTTGCCTCATTTCTCAGACAGACAATGTTCAGATCCTAGGCAGTGATCCAGCCTGCTTGCTCTCCAGCAATACCTGACCCTATGGATATGTAAATAGCATCCGTCTCCACAGTCCAAGTTCTTTGGGCACATGAAGTTGGGTAGTGATGGTGCTTCAT